CCGAAATCATCGCATGCTTTAGCAAAGAGGTCCATTAGGCGTTGTAGTTCAGTTTCTGTGCGAGTGGCTAGAGCAGTATCATCTACAAAGAACATGTCCCTAATGGTTGCTTCCCTTACTTTGCTCATTGCCTTCAGTCGTGCCAGGTTAAACAGTCTGCAGTCTGAACGCATGTGCAGGTAGATCCCTTCTGTGGATGTCCAGAAGGCGTAGAACAGCGAAGAAGATGCCGAAGAGCGTGGGGGAAAGGAAACAGCATTGTTTCACTCCGCTGTGGATGTTGAATGGGCCGAAGATGAGCCATCATACAGCACTATGCTTTTTATGTCGTCATGGAAGGACTGGACCTTGCTTGACAGCTTTGGAGGGCATCCAATTTTTGTCAGGATTTTGAAGAGTCCGTCTCTGCTAACCAGATCGAATGTCTTGGTGAGGTCTATAAAAGCCAGGAAGAGGGATCTGTGTTGTTTCTGCACTTCTCATGCAGTTGCCTGATAGAGAAAATCATATCGATTGTGGACCTCTCTGCGCGGAACCCACATTGAGACTCTGGATACATTCTGTCAGCAAGCGTCTGCAGTCTGTTCAGGATGATTCTTGCGAAGACTTTACCCACGATGCTGGAAAGTGATATGCCACTGTAGTTGTTGTAAAGGGTTATGATGTTGGCGTCTCTCATGTCCTGATGTACTGCACCTTCATCCCAGTACTGGCAGAGATGTTTGTACAGGTGTGTGAACAGCACACTGCCGCCCCACTTGATGACTTCTGCTGGGATGCCATCTTTCCATTGGGATTTACCTGTGGTCAGTTTCTCTAAAGCCATCTTTAGTTCTGCCGCAGTAGTTTTCTCATCCAGTTTAGTCATACAAGGGAGGTTTTCAATGCTGCTGAGGGCATCGTTGGTCTTGTAGTTCTCTCTGGAGTACAGTTCAGAACAGTACTCCACCCTGACACCATTCATAACTCATATTAAACATACATTTCCTAACATATTACACACACCTTTCATACTATATTACACATACCTTTTATAACATATTATACACACCTTTCATAACATTTTTACACACTCTTTTCATAACATATTACACACAAATTCAGGACATATTACACATCTTTTGAACCAAATTGTACACACCTTTCATAACACATACCACAATGAAAATAGTCATGTGAGGAATAACACAATAAAAACATATTAAGGGGTATATACTTGCTAAAAAATGTGAACTCAGAGCCATGTGAACCTGCATTACCGTCAAAATTATCTATGTTCATAATGAACCTTTGAGTAGTTATTTCTGTTAAAAATGCTGATAAATAAAATTCATTCAAAATGTTTAAAAGTCTGTTCATATTACCAATAATGATAAAAACTATATGAACAAAAGTGTTATTGATTTGTTTTCCATTATAAAGTTCATTTTCTTTGTGTGTGCATATATATATATATATATATATATATATATATATATATATATATATATATATATATATATATATATATAAACAAATAACAACATATACAAATACCTATCTGAAATATGCGGGATATCTCGGGTGACATAGTGCAAACATTTGTTAATTTTAGTTTTATTCAAAAGTTATGACAAGCATGTCTGTTTATATTACTATAATTTTCAATGCTACATCAAGCCAAAAATATTACCAACGTAACAATTAGACCCTGTGTTTCAAAAAACATTGTCTTTTAAATGATAGTATCAAATGTGAAAAATACTTAGTTCATCCTATTCACTTTGAAATTTTCACATCTCTTGTCAGCTCTTTCATTTCTTATATACTTTTTCTAAAAAAGGAAAATGAATATCTTGTCCACAAGTCACTGTCTACTAGATGCAATACTGGCTTGCCATGTGAAGGCTAGCAGCTTTTGTTTAATTCCTCCATATGGTATTTGTGCGAAAGTTTCCATTGTACAAAATTTGGCATGGTGATCCAACAATCAATTATAACTGCTATAATAAATTACCAATAACCACCAAGCCTTTTCATCAGTAAATCACTTTGTTCAAAACTAAACATTTTTGACTCAAAATTGTACAAGTTACTTAGCAATAAATTTTTCATGAAATTCAAAATGAAAATAACGACATCACTGAATGCTGAATTTAAATATTTTATTTGAGATGGAATATAACACAAGATTTTCAACTCAGAAATTTGACAGAATGCAAAATTTAAGTTACAATTTAAGTCAAATATCTTTATTCGATATATGTACAACACTGAAAGACAACAGAACATTGCATCATCTCAAACATTTGGAAGTGGAATCAATGAAATTATGATACTTTCTAGCAAAACACATTTTTTTTTTTTACAAGCTCACATCTGCAGTTCTTCTATTCTTTGATGCAATGCCACATTTTAGAATTGATGGACATTGGCAAGAGACCTGGTTCCAGGTATGGATTATTTATTATCATATACAGAAGTTTTAATCTATACATTGCTCATTTTTATCCAAAGCAGGTTATCAGACAAAACAGCTCTTTTTAGCACAAGTTTTTGTTACACCTGTTACATAATACCCATTCCCTTTGATATGCAATAATATCCCATGCTGTCTGATAAGTGAAAAGGTCAAAGACATGACATGTGTCAGGCTGAACTTATGTATAAGTGTTCTTTTTGGAAAGTCATTTATATATTCTTCCTTTCCTGTTTTCATCCTAATTTAACATTATTAAAATATCAGTACTAAAATAAACATCAACTTTTGAAATGTCTGATGTAATTTTATGAGTGATACAGGAATCAGAAAAATTTTGGTTGCTGAAATTCAATTTGAATTTCAATTCAGAAATTAATATTATCAGCAATTCATATATCAATATATTGAAATTGTATAAATACATTTTTAAAAATCTCTTCAGTACAAATTTTGTAAAGAGGTCTACAAAGAGGAATAATACAAATTTACTATGCAAATTCTGTTTACATTTTTTCTCTCTCGTTTGTTCAAACTTGTTTTTTAAATGACCAAAAAGTTGCACCAATCCACTAACACATTTTGAAGAAAAGGATAATTTATGTTAATGATGAAACAGTGGTGAAGTGTGGTTTACAAAATATCAATTAGCTGCTCTGGTCCCTTCAACTAATGCCCCTTGTGATATTACAATGCACAATGAACATTACAAGCATAACCATTGCCATCTCTAACACTAAATTTAAACTTACATGTCAACCTCTGTCAAAATCATATAAGTTTGACATTAGTCAGGGAAAGCATTTAAAAAATAAATTTCTGCATCCTGAATGCAAATAATGAGCAAAAGTAAAAGGGCCATAAATCTGTTAAAGTTTTGTTAGTAAATGGTGAAAATTAACTGTAGTCCTTAAAGAAAGGTCCAATACCTACTTGGACTTCAAAACATGCAGTCCATCTGAAGTTGCCAAGTGAAAACATGTTTGTGATGGACATGACATTTGCCACTGTAAAAATGTACCAGCAATATCATATGTCCCATCAATTGGTAGTAAGGGAAAAAAATGCAAAAAAGATGAAAATGCCATTAAATATCAAGTTTCTGTGGTTAAAATGTAGGCTCAAAACAAAAACCTGAGTAGATCTGAACAATAAACAAATTTGAACACATTGACAAATTCATTTCAGCTGAACATTCCTATCATAATTTTAAACAGCAACTGAATGAATCTTAATGTGAATCAATGACTCAACACCAGCTCAATTAACCATCATTATCATATATATATATATATATATATATATATATATATATATATATATATATATATATATATATATATATATATATATCCCACAATTTTCAATTTTAATCATTTACACAACAAAGTTAAAGCACTCAAAAAGAAAATGATGATGATACATGTTAATTCCTTTAAAATGGCTTGTAAAAGGTGAACATGCATTTATTCCACAATATTCCTAAAAAGAAATAATGTTGAAGCTCTCTTTTTGTTTCTTGCTTTTCTCATTAAGTTGCCATTTCTTATCGTACATAGAGTATATAAAGCACCCATCAAACCATACTTGATGTTTTTGACTGGAACTTTCATGTAAACAAACAACATATGAAGATTTAATGTAACTGGCAGTTATTATTTCATTAATTGGTCCAAAATTTGATAACATAGCATGCATGACAAATAAATCTGAAGCTTTTCAATTTCAAACTCAATGTACTTAATGTATCGCATGGGAACAGAAATTTACTAACAAAGGGCTAAGAGTATGACCTCAGAACATCAAATTTATAAACCAAATTTACACTCAAGGAAATGCAATGCAAACAGAAATGTAACTTGAAACTACTAAAATAATTTATGGTCTAATTTACATTTTTGAATAAAAAATATATTTTTTTAAAATTTGTTAATTTTAAGCTTCTTGGTTCAAGACATATTCTTTCAATTTTAGTGTATCTCTGACTGCAATGTCATACAACTGAAAATAGTTTTTATTAAAAACCAAAAAGAAAAATATTTTTAACTTTAAGAGGATGTTATTAAAAAAAAGCAATTAAGAGTAGCATCATTCAATAGGACATAAATATTGAAACAATTATTAAAATACCTTTATCTTCAAAAATTAGTACAAAATTTGGTTGACATACATCCTTGACAGATTTTAACTAAACCTTTATAAGAAGCATTTTGATTGGTTAAAACCCACATCATGTGATGCAATAAACTAGAAGCCACCAGAAAGGAATAAATTTTATTCATGCATCCTACATGATTGCTTCAACAATATTTGAAAACAATGATTAAAAAGTAGCTCTGTTATTTATTTCCTGAAATTCTTTATTAATTTTAAATTTATTTGCAGATATAAGAATTCAATTTCATACTTTACGGGATTCACAAAGTCCATCAGCTTTATAATCCAATTACATGCTGATCATAAATGAACTTCGCACTGCAATGGCTGTTTATGGTTAATATGGAATAAATTTTCTAGTTTTAGTACTTCATGAATTCTCACTGCTCTGGTGGCCAAAGTGGTTAATGCATCTGCCTTGGATGTGGCTGGTTGCGGGTTCAAACCCCGGCTGAGTCATAACAAAGACTTGTAAAAATGGTACTAAAAGCTGCATCACTTGGCATTCAGCATTAAAAAGTTAGCATTAGGACTGGTCGGCCAGGTGCCAGGATAATGTGGCTGGGTGGGATATCATGCTACATGTCTGAGGCATGAATCCCCAATGCTATACATCACTATAAACAGTCACACTGCAGACATTGCAACTATACAACTAAAATTGTTAAGCTACTTTAAAAATCTAAATCACACACTCATATTCATGAATCATCTAAAGTATAAAGTTCATTGCTTTAATACTGGCATGCTTCACAATTTTTTCTCTCAAATCTTAAAAACAATCATAAATATCATGTTTGGTATCAGTTTATAATTCTGACATACAAGATACTGAAAACTGAACAGGTATGGTTTGCTTTATAATAAATGGATGAATTTGTTCAGTATATAATGCAAAATTTATGATTTTTACACACCTCAACTCACTTTCAATGACCTCAAGATCTGCCTCCAATGGAGTAAAGAATCACCAAGCATAATGCAGTGTTGTTCATTCATGAGTTTATTGCTTTTTGCTGGCCATATCAATTTGGTAGGTTGATGCAAATCACTATATCAGTTTGGTTGGTTGATGCAAATCACCATATCAAATTGGTAGGTTGATGCAAAGCACTGTATCAATTTGGTAGGTTGATGCAAGTCACCGTATCAATTTGGTAGGTTGATGCAAAATGCTGAATCAATTTGGTAGATTGATGCAAAGCGCCATATCAATTTGGTAGGTTGATGCAAAGCGGCATATCAATTTGGTAGGTTGATGAAAATCACCATATCAATTTGGTAGGTTGAAGCAAATCACCGTATCAATTTAGTAGATTGATACAAAGCGCGTATCAATTTGGTAGGTTGATGCAAAGTGCCATATTAATTTGGTAGGTTGATGCAAAGCACCGTATCAATTTGGTAGGTTGATGCAAATCACCATATCAATTTGGTAGGTTGATGCAAATCACCATATCAATTTGGTATTTTGATGCAAATCACCATATCAATTTGGTAGGTTGATGCAAATCACCATATCAATTTGGTAGGTTGATGCAAAGCGCCATATCAATCTGGTAGGTTGATGCAAATCACCATATCAATTTGGTAGGTTGATACAAAAGCGCCGTATCAATTTGGTAGGTTGATGCAAAGTGCCATATCAATTTGGTAGGTTGATGCAAAGCGCCATATCAATTTAGTAGGTTGATGCAAAGCGCCATATCAATTTGGTAGGTTGATGCAAATCACTATATCAATTTGGTAGGTTGATGCAAAATGCTGAATCAATTTGGTAGGTTAATGCAAAGCGCCGTATCAATTTGGTAGGTAATTGCAAAGCGCCATATCAATTTGGTAGGTTGATGCAAATCACCATATCAATTTGGCAGGTTGATGCAAATCACCATATCAATTTGGTAGGTTGATGCAAATCGCCATATCAATTTGGTAGGTTGATGCAAAGCGCCATATCAATTTGGTAGGTTGATGCAAATCACCATATCAATTTGGTAGGTTGATACAAAAGTGCAGTATCAATTTGGTAGGTTGATGCAAAGCGCCATATCAATTTGGTAGGTTGATGCAAAGCGCCATATCAATTTGGTAGGTTGATGCAAATCACTATATCAATTTGGTAGGTTGATGTAAAATGCTGAATCAATTTGGTAGGTTGATGCAAATCACCATATCAATTTGGTAGGTTGATGCAAAGCGCCATATCAATTTGGTAGGTTGATGCAAATCACCATATCAATTTGGTAGGTTGATGCAAAATGCTGAATCAATTTGGTAGGTTGATGCAAAGCGCCATATCAATTTGGTAGGTAATTGCAAAGCGCTGTACCAATTTGGTAGGTTGATGCAAATCACCATATCAATTTGGTAGGTTGATCCAAATCACCATATCAATTTGGTAGGTTGATGCAAAGCGCCATCAATTTGGTAGGTTGAAGCACAATACCATATCAATTTCATAGGTTGATGCAAAATGCTGTTATCAATTTGGTAGGTTGATGCAAATCACCATATCAATTTGGTAGGTTGATGCAAAATGCTGAATCAATTTGGTAGGTTGATGCAAAGCGCCATATCAATTTGGTAGGTTGATGCAAATCACCATATCAATTTGGTAGGTTGAAGCACAATATCATATCAATTTCATAGGTTGATGCAAAATGTTATCAATTTGGTAGGTTGATGTAAAACACTATCAATTTGGTAGGTTGATGCAAAATGCTGTATCAGTTTGGTAGGTTGATGTAAAACACTATCAATTTGGTAGGTTCATGCAAAATGTCATATCATTTGGGTAGGATGATGCAAAATGTTGTTTCAATTTGGCAGGTTGATTCAAAATGCTATATCAAATTGGTAGGTTGATGTAAAATGCCATATTAATTTGGTAGGTTGATGGAAAACACTGTATCAATATAGCAAGTTGATGTAAAACACCATATAAATTTGGCAGTCGCATAAGAGGATTCATCTGTAAAGTGAACATTCACATATTCATGGCAACTGGCCTCCAGCCTAAGAACAATGTTAAAGGTACAGAAGTGTTAGCCTTGCACACAGCAACTGCCCTATTAATATGGATTGAAAAATGCCATACCAAACAATGAATAATCTAATTGTCATTTGTGATTTGGATTTTTAACATAGCTTTAACAATTTTTCAGTCATATCAATACAATGTCTGTAGTGTGGCAGTTTATAGTGACGTCTAGCACAGGGACATCATGCTGTATACATGCAGCATGAAGTACCACCCAGTCACATTATCCTGACACCAGGCTGACCAGTCCAAAAACTGATCTAATAATCCTGAGTGCCAAGAGAGGCAGCTGTTAGTACCAATTTATGTAATTTAATTGTGATAATAATTCTAGAATTAAATAATAACTTCTTTGGTAATCTACTGCTTATGTAGTTGTAGTAACCTGTAACCTATCTAAACTAAACCTTCATCTTTATTAAAGCCCCATAATGCAAATCCACAAATGTGCTAAATTTTGTTTTTCCTGGTTTAGTGAATAATACTTTTTTCACTGTACTGGGGAATAATACAAACAGTTTCATTCTACTTGTTAATAATATATTTCATTTAGCCATAATGTGAAATAATAAGTTTTCCAATATGATAAAACAAAATTAGTTATTTGGTCTTCAAATACACAATTATTGTAGAAAACTGATTTATTTCAAGAGAAGAAAAAAAATTAACTGCATTAATTATATGACTAAAGTAAGATTTAGGATATTCTAATTTACATCTCTTTAGAGATGATAAATACATTCCATAAATTCCCTGTAGTGAATCAGTTTTTAAAGCGAAAAAATGAAAAAAATATCGTATAAAAAAATCATTGAAGATAAATGTGCAAATTGCAATTTTGGCATCAGATGGGTTATTGTTTGGTTTCAACAATCAATATATTTTATACTGTAATTTTTATGTAATGTAATGAACATATGTACAATACTCATGACTGTTATTATTGCAGCATGTCAAGCCAAGCCAAGCCTTTGATCAACACAATGCTGTTAAAAAACTGCTCTTGAAGAACAAAACACACCACAGAATAACTTAAATAAGTTTCATAACGATTCATACAAAGTATGAATAAGATTCATCCAGTTCCTTTGGAAATACAGTAAAAGCACACACAAAAGGCACATGGAACTCAAAAACCAAAATCATTTTTATGGTTAACCTTGACTGCAAATTCATATGGGCAAGCAAGCATTGTACAGAATGTATTTTCTAAGCTTTATAATGATTTTCCCAAGTATAGAAAAAGATTCATTAAGTTCTTTTGGAAATACAGTAATAGCACATGCAAAAGGCACATGGAACACTAAAACAAAAATCATTTTTATTGTTAACTTGACTGCAAATTCATATGGGCAAGCAAGCATTCTAACAGAATGCATTTTCTAAGCTTTATAATGATTTATCCCAAGTACAAAATGGTCCATCAAGGGGTTTACAAAACATAAGCAAATAATAACACAAGACCCAAAATGTTAATAAAAATATTTGACAGTCCTTCACTGAGCAATAAATGTAGTGAGTCTGTTGCTGAAAAAATTATCTTTGCTTTTTAATTATTCATCGAAGTCTGATGGTAATCCAGTAAGCAGTTTAATAAATATAAGACAAGAAATACATTTAGCTCAAACAATAATAAACTTAGACAACAACACTCTCCACAGCAGACATAGGACTGCTTTTCTCATTTTAATCCAATGTGTCGTGACTAAAATGTCACAAACATTAAACCTGCAAGAACAATAACCTCTTATGTAACAGTTACTTGATGTGTACATAACATTCATGGACTGAAGGTCATATATATACAGATACAGCAGGTCACATCTAAACATTATTTATTGCAGTCACCTTTATATAAAGGTAATGTAAAATAGGTCGCATCTATGAATAATTTTGTACAAATTACCTGTAATGTAATAGTTATATGCTGTACATCACATCTGAATATACTTTAATGCAGCCACTGGTATACAAACATGTACAATGGGTCACATATGAATATAATTTAGTGGTCACCTGAATATATATATATATATATATATATATATATATATATATATATATATATATATATATATATATATATATATATATATATATATATAAAGGTTGGGTACATTTGCTCACATCTGAAAAAATGCTTTATTGCACTTTAATCTGTATGCCAAAGTCAAGCAAAATAGGTCACATGAGACTATAATTTAGTGGATAGATATACATGTCATGTGCAATAAGTCACATAAAACATACTTTAGTGCACATGTACATGTCATGTGTAATAGGTCACATGTGAACATATTTTAGTGCTCATATACATGTCATGTGCAATAGGTCTCATGTGAACATAATTAGTGCACATATACATATCATGTGCAATAGGTCTGTGAACAAAATTTAGTGCACATGTCATGTACAATAGGTCAC